GCTTTTTGATCCCCTAACTTGATAAGGGATAGAGGTGTAAGGGGGACAGAGGAGGTTAATGTATCCTTTGAAGCTCTTGTTCACATATTTCCCACCTAATTTTTCAGAGTTGTGGCTAATGTCCTGCAGCTGGACCACTCATTCATTCATTCAACAAGCACTTAGTGAACACTAGGGATCTAGTGATGCATCAGCCGTGGTCCATGCCCTCCAGGCAACCTAGTGGAGATAGACAAACAACAGCTGTTAACATGTGGTGGGAAGTATGATACTGAGGTCCGTGTAAAATGCCACCAGATATGGAAGCACAGATGAGGGAGTGATTGTATCTGTGCAGACGTGTGAGTCTAGGGATGGCCTCCCCCAGGAGGTGATATGTGAGCCCATCTTGTGGACAGTGTAGGAGTTCTGTAATGACTGAGTGGGATGGGCCCTCCAGGTAAAGGTAGGACAGTCACTGGAATGCCTGGGGCACAGCCAGGTATAGTGATATTCTAAGGAGCCCAGGAGAATGAGTCCCTGAGTGGCACAAACAGTTAAGCACTCGGCTACTAGCTGAAAGGTTGGCAGTTCAAAACCACCTTGAGGCTCCTCAGAAGACAAGCCTGCTGATCTGCTTCCAAAAAAACAACCTTGAAAACCCTACGGAGCAGTTCTATTCTGCACACATGAGGTTGCCATGAATCCGAATAGACTCAACAGCAGCTAGTAATAATGTTTACAGTTTATGTAATCATTGTACTTTTGTCAAAACTAAGAAATAAACATTGGTCCAAGGAGCCCAGGAGATTGGGAAGAATCTTTAAAACCACAGACAACCCAAAGGGACAGAACAATGATGAAAACTTATGGAACAATTAAATGCCAAAACTAAATGGCAGCATCCACTAGCTCATACAGGAGCAGAATAAGAGATGCGGAATCTATACCAAGGAAGAGAGGCTGGGCTCAAGGTAGGCCCTGCGAGGTGGTGATGGTGGGAGGCATAGATGGTGAAGAGCATCGCAGGGCTGGTGTCTGAGTCCCACTGTGCCTCAAGCCCCTATTCTTTAGGGAAATTAGGCTCCCTTTACCTTCTGGGAGCCAGCAGTGTTGGGTAACCCACCGCATGGTAACACAAGTTGAACATTTCATGTCTTGGAAAGATGATCAAAGTTCCCAACGTCTGCTGCCCTGCTTGCTGGGCGGGAAGTCCCAGCAACTCTAAGTCCAACTGTTGAAGTGACCAAATAAACTTTGTTTGATAATGAATTTATTGACTAAAACAAAATCAAATAGCAAAAAGGCACTTCTGTCTGGGAAGTACAAGTTAAGGCAGGGGATATCCCCACTGGCCACCTTCCTGCAATTCTCTGAAACTCAGGTTGGCTCTGCTTTCTTGGGGGAAGTAGAAGCTTTACCTTGCAGACCTGGCATGCCAGCCTGTGTCAGAGAGGAGAGGCCTGCGTCTAGGAATGGGGAGTAGGGGTAGAAAGGGGTGAGGGGTCACTGACTCTTGGCTGAGATGCTGCCTGGCCCAGCTAAGTCTGATATTCATTAGATCATTCATTCATTTGTTCAGCTATGTGTTCCTCATACAAAAGTCAAATTCCAGCACGTCTACCTGTTCATCTTTACCTCCTCTACCTTCACCTCCTCTAACTGTCCTCTCACCTCTGAGCCTTCTTTCTGCTGTTTCCAGACTTAGGGGTTGGAGATTGCTTCAGAAGCAGGTTCACTACAGCCTTCCCCAAGAAACATTTCCTGATCACCTCCACCTCGCATAAATGAATGGCTCTGTGTTCTTGTCTCTCTAAGGTGGTGCTTCTGGGACCTTGTATCTTTTCCCTTAGAGTTTGTGAGTGGAAGTCAAAGAGCGTGTCTGGTCTTAATGTGCTATCTTGCATACAAGAGAGGCTCAATGAATGCGGAATGAGTAACACAACACACCTACTATGTGCAGACCTTCACTAGGGCATTCAGGAACAGAGAGGAGGGAGGCACTGTCCCTGCAATCAGGGGCCCAGAAACTCCAGAAGACACCATCTAGGAGGAGACCCCCATAAGAGATATTTTGACTAATGTCTTTGCACATGACATTGGACTGAAGAAGCTGCTTCTGGTGAGCTTTGCTCCCAAATTCATTCTTAGCAAATTAGGAGGCTAACGCTGTGACCAGGTGTCCTCTGTGGGAGACAGTGACCTTTTCCCAACAGCTCCCTACTGCGTGGAGTGAAGGACGTGCTTTTCAAACTTTGCTGATCACGATCCATGACAAGAAATATATGTTCATCTCCATCTAGTACACACATACTCATTTTTAAGTGAATCAAAAATTCACAAACTAGGACCTACCCTTTCTACATGTGAGGCATGATTATATTTTCTGTTCTATTTCATTCTAAATTTCATTTTTTAAAATTATTAGTACCAGTAAATTTATTTTACTACCTGTTAATGGGTCACGACCATTAAGGTAATCATCAAGCCTTTGGAGTCAGATGGACCCAGGTATGAACCCAGGCTCTAGCACCTAGAAGCTGTGTGACCTTAGGCAAGTCACTTCCCCTCTGGAAGTCTCCATTTTCTCGTCTGTAAAATGGGAATAACATAGAACATATCTCATAGGGTTACTGTGAGAATTAAATGGGATAATACAGGTAAACTCCTGGCACGTAGTAAGTACTTGATGAACATTAGCTTTTGACATGGCTGCAAAGATTGTTGTTATTGCCCTGCCACTGCTTGGTGGGACCAACAGAGCTGGGGTGGGAGGCAGCATGGCTTGCCGTGGGATCTCTCCTCAGCAGATCACCGTCATTCTCTTATCTATAAGTGAGCAGACATTCCTTGAGCTCCTACTGAGTGCCAGACATATCGAGCAGACTCTCTGGTCCCCAGGGAGACAATGCCAGGACTGAGTGCCCTTAATGAGGTCAGTTTAAAAACAGAGGTGCCAGCACTGTGCACTGGGCTGTTGAGGAAGGTGAGACTCATGCCTCCTGGGGAGTGGTGAGCAGGAAAACTTCACGGAAGATGAGGCATTGGAGCAGGGTGATAGGAGGACCAACTGGGGCCTTGTCTACAGTAATTGGGAACCCTGTGTGAGAATCGTGGGGCCACCCGTTTTCTCTTCCGTGAAGGGCAGACCTGTTCCCAAGGAGTTTTGGCTGGACCTAGAGCCAAACACGTTAGATGCCTTTCGCCTTTCGCATTTAGGTCTCTAATCCACCTGGAAATGATTTTTGTGTCTGGTGTAAAGTAAAGATCCAGTTTTTTTTTTCCCCTTGTTTCTGGGTGGATAACCAGTTACTCCGGCACTGTTTATTAAAGAGTCCATCATTCCCCACTGATTTGTACATCACCTCTGTCATATATCAAGGCTCCATACATGCACGGATCAGTTTCTGGACTTGATTCAGTTTCATTGGTCTATTTATCTGTTGTTATGCCAATACCACACTGTCCTAATTACTGTAGCTTTGTAGTAATTCTGAATGTCTGGTAGGACCATCCCCCAGCCTTGTTCTTTCTTCATAAGTATCCGGGCTCGCCTCGGACCTGTACTGTTGTCTACATGTTTCACAATCAGCCTCTGCTGGAAGATGACTGAAGGGCCCCAGGGAGCCCTAGACAAGCTGTCCTCAGTAAGAATCCATCTCAGGGTGCCTGAAGCTGCAGCTTCTCCTGCGCTCACTGATGCCATCAACCCCAGTTGGCATTTGAGCTTCCCAGGGAGTACTTTCTAGATAATTTGGCAGAGAAAAGTACCAGAGACATGCCTGAGTCTGAGTCCCTTCTGCTGCTACTTGCCCAATGGCTCCTTTGGTTTCCCTCCCAGTGTCCCAACTCTAAGAGAGTTATCCCACCCAGGGCACCTGCAACTCCTTCCAGAAGACCACTTGCTCCCCAGTCCCTGTGTACCCAGGACATAATCTGGGCAGACAGGAGTGTGTCTTCCATCATTAATGCCAGGGTCCCAGAGAGAACTCCCTGCACCAAAGCTTGGCATGTACAGCTAAATTGTTTGGCTTAGGTGTTTGCAAGTATTTTCTTTACCTGAAATAGGATTAGGGGTTGAGTGGGAGGAAGAGACATGTCACTAATATTTGTAATTTAGTCTGTCCTTGAATGGGAAGGTCCAGGTTGGTGTCTTCATTGCCTTCTCTGGAGACCATTCTGACAGGGACTTGAATGCCAAGGAAATGATTCATTGCAAGCTCTGATTTCATAAAATGGCTTAAAGAAAGGCACATGATTCATGGGCCAAATGCCTGTGGTTGGTGTGGACTGGGTAAAACAAGCGTTTTCAGCACACCAGCTGTTAACGTGCTTCCAATATTCAAAAACACTGGCCAATCTGTGGCTCAGTTGGTTTGATGTACAGGGTTTAGGGTGAGAGTTTATGGTGAACAACCCACTGGACTGGGATTCTACCCTGTCGACCATGGGCAAGGTCAGTGCTGGGTTGTGACCTATAACAAGAAATATATTTTCTGTCTATCCCTTTGGGCCTCAGTTTGCTCATCTGTGAAATGATGGTTTGGACTCGACAATCTCCAAGTTCCTTTTAACCCTGTTTCTATTTCTGTAGTTCATGAGCATAGAAATCAGAAACCTTTCTTTCCATCCTCTTGGCAAAAAGACTCTTACTTCTGCCTTGCTTTTGGTTACTGATTCCTCCCTCTCTGCATCAGTGCAGGAGGATGGTTGTCTTTGGGCAGCTGGGGCTGAGTGAAGGGGGACTACAGGCCACAAAGAGAGCTAGATAGGAATCTTGGAAAGCTGCCCTGAATACTACCTACTTCTTCAGCTGGGGAGAACTTTCGATTCTGGAAAACTGTCTGGTGCTGAATTTGCCCCCTCAATTCCAGGGGCTCTGTGAAACCACCCCCCAACCCCGGGCCTTGGAACTGGTGTGGGCTAGTGCAGCTTGGTGACTGAACCTAGGACATGGTGGTGGCATTTGGCTAGGATGCTTGGGAGTCTCATTGCTGAGACATCTCTATTTCCTCTTGCAGACCACTGAGTATTCAGCCATGGCCTCGCTGGCTGGAGGGCTGGACGACATGAAGGCCAACCTGACCAGCCCCACCCCCGCCGACATCGGGAGCACCGTGCCTGGGCCGCAGTCCTACCCCATCGTGACAGGTGAGGGCATCTGCGGTGTTGGCGATGAGAGGGGCACCCACTGGACCTGCAGAGAGAGAGAGAGAATGTGTGGTAGGAAGAATGGCTCTGGTGCTCTTGGACATCACTGGTCATTTTTGTTTTAATGAAGTTATGAAGTCCTGGAATAGGTCAGACAGGAGATCGCTGGGGCCAGGGGTTATGGTTGTGATGAGAAGTGGCTGTATATTGTTTAGATAAAGCTAGAGGAGAACAAATGACAAATGGACTGTGAGCTGGGAGGAATGGCAGGGAAGCCTCATGTCAGAGGGGCCTGGGTGATTTCCTGGCCACCTGTGGGTGGGGCCGGGTATTCTGAGGTCTAGGATTTATCCCTGTCTTGAGAAAGGCAGCCCTGGCTGGCTCCAGCTTCAAGGATGAGTGGGGATCCTCACAGATTGCTGCTGGCTTTTCAGATTTCCAGGCAGAGGTTGAGTCAAGAAGGACAGGAGGTTTAGGCTGGAAGGTTCTGGGTGTATGCAAAGCAGCTGCCTTTCTGGAAGGCCCAGGGCCAGCCTCTTTGTCTTACTAAAGGCTGTCAGTGTAATGATCAAAACTTTGGGCCTCAGAGGCAGGGTTGGAACCTGTCATTTATTAACTGTGTAATCTTGGAAAAGTTATATAACGGTTCCGGGCTGTATTTTTTTAACCTGTAAGGTGGGAATAATGAGTGGGGTATAGGCAGAAGCTGGGGCCCTGTTTGCAGATCTGGGCACCAAGTGTGCATTAGTCAAGTGGCAAGAATGACTTGGTCCTGTCCACCTGAGGTGTGGGTGGGGGGTAGGCAAGAACCTGGAGTGCAGCTGAGCCTGTAGGTGGGAAGGTGCCAACAACGGGACAAGGAGCCTGGAAGCCTCAGTCAGAGAAGCCTTTACCAACATCGCAGATGTCCGATGAGGCTCTCTCCCCTGGTGTTGCAGAGTGTGTGACAAGTCCTCTGACAGCACCCCAGTTTATAGATGCAGAACCATGTCTCAAGAAGGGGCAGTGACTTGCCCAATGTAAGGGGTAAGGGGTAGAGTTAGAGCCTATGTTCAATCTCCTGATTTCTGGGTTCTTACTCCGTTCAAGGAACTACAGAAGATTAGGGAGGTAGGGGTGATAGAGTGAAAAGAAGCCCGGACTAGCTAATAGTGACAGTAACTGCCACTTTACTGAGTATCTGCTGAGTGCCAGGCACTCTGTTAAATGAACTCATGTTACCCTCAGAGGTAGATGGAAAAATTCTGAAATAGAGAAACGAGTAAAAATCCTAGCCTATTTAAAAGCAGATGATAAAGTACAGTAATTAAAACTGTTACTGATGCTGAAATAACTAACAAATGGACTAGAATAGAGTTCAGAAGTAGATGCAAGTGTATGTAGATGCTTATAAATGCAGCATTTCAAGTCAATGGAGCAAAGATAAATCACTCAGCTAATGGTGTTGAAAAACTGGGCTTGTTGGATTCCTACTTCACACTTTATATAAAAATAAATTCCAGGTTGATCAAAACTTTAAATGTAAAAGATGAAATCATAATAAAACAAGAGGAAAACATGAGTGAAATTTTTTATTATCCTAGAGTGGAAAAGACCTTTTAAAGTATGTTCCAAATACAAAAGAGAAAGAAAAATATTCAAATGATGGTTAAAAATGTAAATCTTTTGACAAAAAACAAAATTGGAGACAAAAGTGGAACACAGATAACAGAAAGCTAATTTCTTTAATATAAAAAGAGTTTCTGGAAACAAATATAAAAAATAGGCAAAAGACATGAATGGGTAGTTCATTGAAAAAAAATGCAGATAGCTACCAACATATGAAAGATGTGCACCTGACTCATAATTTAAAAACTGCAAATTAAAACAATAATGAACAATAATCAGTTGGATTCCTATAGACCAATAAACAGAACTATGGAAAGGAAATCAAGAAACCAATACCATTTAAAATAGCCTCTAAAAAAATAAAATACTTAGGAATAAATCTAATCAGGGACATGAAAGAACTATACAAAGAAAACTACAAAACACTACTGCAAGAAACCAAAATAAATTACATAAATGGAAAAATATACCATGCTCATGAATAAGTAGACTCAACGTGGTGAAAATGTCAGTTCTACCCAAAGCAGTCTACAAATACAATGCAATCCTGATCCAAATACAAACAGAATTCTTTAGCAAGATGGAAAAACTAATCATTAACTTTATAAGGAAAGAAGCCTCAGATAAGTAAAGCATTACTGAAGAAGAAGAACAAAGTAGGAGGTCTCGCACTATCAGAACTCAGAACTTACTATACAGCCAAGGTAGTCAAAACAGCCTGGAACCAGTACAGTTACAGACGCATTGACCAATGGAACAGAAACAAGAACCCAGATGTAAATCCATCCACCTATGGCCACCTGATCTTTGACACAGGCCCAAAGCCCACTAAATGGGGAAAAGACAGTTTTTTTTAACAAATGGTGCTGGCAAAACTGTATGTCCATCTGTAAAAAAATGAAACAGGACACATACCTCAATCATACATAAAAACTAATTCAAAATGGATCAAAGATGTAAATAGAAAACCTAAAACTAGAAAGATCATGGAAAGAAAAAATAGGGTCAATGCTAGGGACCCTAATATACAGCATAAATAGGATACAGACCATAACTAACAACACACAAACAGCAGAAGATAAGCTAGATAACTGGGATCTTCTAAAAATCAAACGCTTACGCTCATCAAAGACTTCACCAAAAGAGTAAAAAGAGAACCTACAGACCAGGAAAAAAATTTTGGCTATGACATATTCAACAAAGTTCTAATCTCTGAAATCTATAGGAAAATCCAACACCTCTACAACAAAAAGATAGATAATCCAATTTAAAAATGGGCAAAGGATGTGAACAGACACTTTACCAAGGAAGACATTTGAATGGCTAACAGACTCATGAGGAAATGCTTGTGATTACTAGCCATTAGAGAAATGCAAATCAAAACTATAATGAGATACCATCTCAGCCCGACATTACTGGCACTAATTTAAAAAAAAACCCAGAAAATAACAAATGATGGAGAGGCTGCAGGGAGATTGGAACTCTTATGCATTGCTGGTGGGAATGCAAAATGGTACAACCATTTTGGAAAACGATATGGTGCTTCCTTAAAAAGATAGAAATAGAAATACCATATGATCCAAAATGCCACTCCTAGGAATAAATGCTAGAGAAATAAGAGCCATCACAGGAATAGACATATGCACACCCATGTTCATTACAGCATTATTCACAATAGCAAAAAGATGGAAACAACCTAAGCGCCCATCAACAGATAAATGGATAAACAAACTATGGTACACACACACAATGGAGTACTACACAATGATAAAGAACAATGATGAATCTGTGAAACATCTCACAACGTGGATGAAATTGAAGGGCATTACGCTGAGTGAAATAAGTCAATCACAAAAGGACAAATAATGTATGAGACCACTATTATAAAAACTCATGAAAAGGTTTCCACACAGAAAGAAACAATATTTGATGGTTATGAGGGAGGGGAGAGGTAGAGAAGGAAAAGCACTAACTAGACAATAGATAAGTGGTAACTTTGGTGAAGGGTAAGACAGTACACAGGACTGAGGAGGTCAGCACAACTTGACCAAGGCAAAGTCATAGAAGCTTCATAGACACATCCAGATTCCCTGAGGGACCAAATTACTGGGCTGAGGGCTGGCGACCATGGTCTCAGGGGACATCTAGCTCAATTGGCATAGCATAGTTTATAAAGAAAATGTTCCACATCCTACTTTGGTGAGTAGCATCTGGGGTCTTAAAAGCTTGTGAGCGGCCATCTATCTACTGGTCCCACTCCGTCTGGAGCAAGAGAGAATGAAGAAAACCAAAGACAGAAGAGAAAGATTAGTCCAAAGGACTGATGGACCACCAGTACCACAGGCTCCACCAGACTGAGTCCAGCACAACTAGATGGTGCCTGGCTACCACCACCAACTGCTCTGATAGGGATCACAACAGAGAGTCCCAGACAGAGCTGGAGAAAAACGTAGAACAAAATTCAAACTCACACACACACACAAACCAGACTTACTGGTCTGACAGAGACTAGAGAAACCCCGAGAGTATGGCCCCCGCACCGTTTTAACTCAGTACTGAAATCACTCCTGAGGTTCGACCTTTCCGCCAAAGATTAGATAGGCCAATAAAACAAATGACAGCACATGTAATCCAACCACGTACAGGAGACTAAATGGGCACATCAGCCCGGGGGCAAGGATGAGAAGGCAGGAGGGGACAGGAAAACTGGACGAATGGAAATGAGGAACCCAAGTCGAGAAGGGGAAGAGTGTTGACACATCGCGGAGTTGGCCACCAATGTCACAAAACAATTGTGTGTATTAATTGTTTAATGAGAAACTAGTTTGCTCTGTAAACTTTCACCTAAAGCACAATAAAAAAAAAAAAAAATGAGACAGCTTGAAAAAAATCTATCAGCTTATCAAAGATTAAAATGTTTTATAAGACTTCAGTGTTGGAGAGGGTATGAAAGGGTATCATACACTGTTATAGGAGTATAAATTGATGCAATCTTTTTTGGAGGGAAATCTGTCAGTGTCTATCCAAACTTTAAATGCACAGACCCTCTGACCCAGAACATTTATATGCACTTATAGGATTTATCTTATAGCTATATTCACAAAAAATGAACAAGGATATATATACAGAGATATAATTATGGAGTTATTTATAATGGCAAACAAATGGAAACATCGCAGTGTCTATCAACAGGGGTTAGTTAAATAAATTATGGCTGTTTCACAGGATAAAATTCTATGCAACCATTAAAAAGAATGAAATAAAGCTGTCTGTACTGACATGAATAAATGTCTAAGACATACTTTTAAGTAAAAATGCAAGTATAGAATAATAGTATGTTCAGTATGATCCTATTTGTGTGAGAAAATATATAGAACATACACACAGATACA